AGCACTAGTCCCATGTTTGCAACAGGTGTCTGCCACTGTTAGCGAAGATGTTCAGGAAAGACTCTAAAATGGAAGGATTCCCTGTAGATGGTGAGGTCCTTCAGATGCTTCTGTTTATGGATGACATTGTGCTGATGACACCAAGCCTTAGAATACTGACGAGCCTATAATCACCAGAATCTATGATCTCTCAAAAGAATTTAGCTTACCTATCTACAAAGGAAAAATCTAGTGTATGAAGAATGTCTGTGGTCCAGAATATGATATGTGTTTGGATGGACAGTGCGTATATTGCTATGAAGGGACAATGAACTGAACATATATTTTAATAGGAGAAGGGCAGGATGGATTTTGTTTAGAGCCATTTTTTACAGGTATTTGGAAGGGTTTGGGGGGAGAGGCCAGGCAAGTCACTGCTTTTACTCTGCCATCTTGGCCCAGGATGGATTTTGTATTTGGGAAATTGTGCCATCTTTTTAATGATCCTAAATGTCTCCCAGAAACAAAGGGCCATCTTTCAAACATCAACATTATTTTGTTGATGCTATATGGCTGCAAGTTATGAATGCCTGAGTTTCTAAGAGTTAAAATAGCCAAAGGGCATTGGAAAAGGACATGGTGGACAGGAGTAGGCTGCATATCAATGAAGAATTCCACAGAAAAATTAGTGTGAAGGATGTCATCGAACTGATGTAGGAATCTCGAGAGGTTAAAGTTAAAGAGGTGAGCTGGTCATACATTAAGAGTGAGGGATTACTGAAAGGACAGCCTGTGTGTTCCATCACTGCTCATTCAGAATCAAGAGTGTTAGAGGAAGGTTCCTAGTACACTGGGAAACATCACCAAATGGCTAGCCTTTCTCTGCCTAATGATTTCCAGTGAGGGAGAAATTACTACCTCTATTTCAAGGAGCCCATTCCCCTTTTGGAAAGCTCTAAATGCTGATGAATTTTCTTTACATCAAACCTAAATCTGTCCACCTGCAACTTCTACTTATTACTTTCAGTTCTGTTCTCTGGGGCCAAGCAGAACAAATCTATTTTTATTTAATATTTTATTTTCCCCCAATTACACATAAAAACAATTTTAAACATTTGTTATTAAAGATTTTGATTTCCAAATTCTCTCTGTCTCTGCCTCCCTGCCCCCTTCACTGAGAAAATAAGCAATATGATATAGGTTATACATGTGCAGTCATGCAAAACATATTTCCATATTAGTCATGGTGTAAAAGAAAATACAGACCAAAAAAACTCCAAGAAAAACAAAGAAAGTAAAAAAATATGCTTCAATCTGCTTTTGGACTCCATCAGTTCTTTCTCTGGAGATGGACAGCATTTTTTTCATCATAAGTCCTTTGAAATTGTCTAGGATTATTGTATTGCTAAAAACAGCTAAGTCATTCACAGTTGATCATCATACAATATTGCTGTTACTGTGCACAATGTTCTTCTGGTTCTACTCATTTCACTTACCTACAGTTCATGTAGTCTTTCCAGGTTTTTCTGAGAGCATTCTGCTCATCATTTCTCATAGCACAATAGTATTCCATCACAATCATATACCACAACTTGTTCAGCCATTCCTCAATTGATGGACATCCTCTCAAAGTCCAATTCTTCACCACCACTAAAAGAGCTGCTATAAATATTTTTCTACATGTAGGTCCTTTTCCTTTTTGTTTTTTATCTCTTTGGGATACAGACCTAGTAGTGGTATCCAAGCAGAACACGTCTAAACTCTCTTCTATATGACCTTTAAAATACATTGACGGCTGGTATGTCTCTCTAAAGCTTCCTTTCCCCAGAAGAGAAAGTAAGGGAAAGAATTATAAGGAAAATGTTTGTAACTTTAAATCACTATGCAGATATGAGCTGTTGTTATTTTTCTTCTTCTCTTCACAGACCATGCTATCTTTCCAGGTTCTTGGAGAGGATGGTTTCTAACAAGAAGAGTGCCCCAATCTAACCATTTTACCTGTAGATGTACCAGGAGTTATTTAAATAGTGCCAAGCCAAAGGGAAATGTAAAATGAGTAATTAGCAAACTTGCAAATTGCTTTATGTTCTTATGAAGTATGTCTCCCAGTAGATTGTAACAGTAGTTATACATTAAGTTATTGAATCCTTTTTCCAAGAATATTTTAAAAATTTTATCTTTTTTTGTGTGTGGGAATAAATTATTTGTCCCATATTTCATTCATATTATACATTGAGTGCTTTATTTACTCCTCCTTTTTAGGGAGGTCATAGATGTGACATATCAATTTTTTCTCCAATGCATCATAGTGGGGAATTTAAGCCAAAGGGTGTAAGAAAAGGAGTTTCCCTGCTGCCCTTAGGGATAAGCTCACCTTGGACTTCCCACATGTTTAGGTATAGAAGAGTACAGGACAGAGAATGGGCACAGTATTCTAGCCCCCTGTGGGCCCACCAGTGATTCCTAAAGGTTAGATAAATATGTATCCTAAGACTCTACTCTTCCACCCTTCTACCATCTTCCTTTATGCTACATCACCTTATCTGAATGACTTCAACAGCATCCTAATTGCTTTTCAGATTTCAATCTCACCCCATTTGGGCCCATTTTGCACAGTGATGCAGGATTAATTTATCTCAAATACCATTTTCAGCCCACTCTTCAGGGACTTAGAGTAGCTCTCTACTGTCTACAATCATGAAATAATCCCAGTTCTTAAGGAACTTGCAAATAATGGAGGAAGGACAAGAACACAAACAACTATGATACAATTAAGAGTAGGATAAGTACAAAGGAGAGGCCCAGACAAAGTGTTAAAAACCATTTGAGGAGGAAGAGATTATTTTCAACAGGAAGAGAGCAGGAGGAGGGGGTGAAAGGAGGAAAGGCTCCATAGAGGATATGACATCTTAATTGGGCCTTGAAGGTATGGAAGTACTTCAATAGAGATTGTATCAGGGTGGTCAGGAGGGGTAGGAGTGGGGAGGCAGAGTTCATTTTAAGCACTAGAGACAACAGAAGCAAAGACATGGAGATGAACAAGGGGAAGATGGGATGAGGAGGCAGAGAGTAGTTCACTTTGGCTGAGATCTATAAGAAGTGAAGGGAAACACTTAGAGACAAGGCTTATAGGTTGGAACTGGATTTCAGAGGGCCTTGAATGCCAATATAAGGAGTTTATACTTATTTAATAGATGATATGGATATACTAGAGATTTTCGAATAAAGGAGTGATATGATCAGACCCATGTGTTGGGAACATGACTCAGGTAGTGCTCTGGAGGATGGATTGGACATGTAAGAGAAGGAAGGCAGAAGACCAATTAGGGAGATATTGCAATAGTTCAAGTTGATTGTGAGGAAAGAGAGAAAGGGACGAATATGAGAGATTCTGAAGGGGCCAAATTGATAGTGTTTTACAACTGACTGGATATGACAAGTAAGGGAGAAGGAGTAACCAAAGAAAATATTAGATTTTTACCATGGGAGAAAGAGTGGATGGTGGTACCATTGACAAAAAACAGTCAAGTCAGAAGGAGGAAGAAACTTTTGGAATAAGATAGTAAGCTCAGTTTTAGATATGTTGGGTTTGAAGTATTTAAGAGATTTTCAGGTTGGATATTTCTTCTAGGTAGTTGAAAGTCAGATGTGGAGCTTGGAACAGAGGACAGGGCTGGAGACGTATAATTATGAGTCATTTGTATAGAGGTGATAATTAGGACTATGGGCATAAATGAGTTGATAAAATAGTAGAGATTGGCAGGAGAAAGGAAGAGGGTAAAGGACAGAGCCTCAGAGAGTGTGCACCTAAAGGGGTCAGGAAGAGGATGAGAAAGCAGTGAAGGAAACAAAGAAGGAATGGCCAGAGAGACAGGAGAAAAACCAGGAGAGTGTGCTGTCTCTGAAGTGAAGGTTGGAGAGATTATCGTTAAGAACTGGGCAAAGAGATCAAGGAGGATGAGGACTGAAAAAAAAAAGACCACTCAACTTGGTCAATGGAGACTTTTGATCTATTTCAGTAGAATGTTGGGTGGGGGAGAGACAGAGAGAGAGACAGAGAGGGAGAAAGGCAGAGAGGGAAAGAAGGAGAGGAAAAAGAGTGAGAGTGAGAGGGAGAGGGAAAGAGGGAGAGGGAGAGGGAGGGGTCAGACAGCAATGAATTGGGGAGAAAGTGGGTGGTGAAGAATTGGAAGCATCAGGTGCAAACAAATTTTTTTTTCTAAGAAGTTTGACAGTGAAGGTGAGGAGAAAGATGGTCACCTAACCTTTCTGAGCTCTAGATGCTTGGCTAAGCAAGAGCTCTGAGTTTGGCACCCACCTAGGACACCATGAATTTTTACTTTTTCTGGCCATATTTATTATAGATTACTGACACCATCCAAGTCATCAAAACAACAATGCATTTTTAATGTGATGGGCTTTGCCTGGCCTCCCATGCACCCCTAGATAGCATCTGGTTAATAGCTGGCTTCTTCCTGCTTCAGTTCGCCCAGCATGAAGAATTCCACATTCAGCTAAATGAGCACATGGAGGGTTCTCTTGCCCCCTTCCCTTCTTTTCCCAAAGGAACATTTGATAAACATGTTGTAAGTTTTGATGCTTTACCCCTCAAAGATGCCCTTGTCAAGATATCAGATGTTGTCTAACTTAGAATACACATCGCGGGCTGAGAAATTGTGATTGGTCTCATTGTTAAAAACTCTTCCTTGCTTATTGGCATGACAACTGAGCTAAATAGAGCTGAGATGAATGCGAGGCTATTTTTGGTGCCTCCTCTAGGATTTCACGCACACTGTGTATTTTGCATCATTTTAATACTTGGGCATACTAAGGAGTCTGAGGCAAACACTCGTTTGTAAATGTTACAGTCTGCCAAGCTTGGGTGGGTGTTTTGCAGGGTGACGTTTTTCATCTCACATGATTACTTTTGGCAATAGCCAGATTGGGGAAAGATTTCACTTTTTTAAAGCTGGAAATAAAAGTGTTAGTTTAGTTTGGTAGAAAGGCAAGCTCTCACTTACCTTTATCCTGTCCATACATGCTTCCATTTTGAGTTGCTCCACAGCTTTTCGGGCTTGAGAGATACTGGTTGTGCTGTTATTAGACATGCCTTCTTTCATTCTCTTTCCCCAGAAACTGTCAAAGTTAGAGAATTAGAAAGCTGTAAATTACAGTGAGTGTAACAATGTGCCTATTATCTCTAGATTGTAAGCACTCACACTATAAAAGTGATGTTTCATCCTTCCAAAAGAATAGGAATAGTATGACCAATATGTATAGTATTAACCAACAGTATGACCAAATGTCATGAAATTCCTTGAAACAGTCTCTCAGTACCTGGTTGTTTGTCAACACTGGGCACTGTCAATAAATGGGAACACAAAGTTCAAATCCCTAATTGCCATCCTCCAGTACTATAAGCTATAAACCCAAATGTCCTGTTATTTCAATAGCATTTTTAAAATCAATCATGTACTTCATTGCGTTACTGAGCCAATAATTTCAGAGAGTTGGCTTTAAATAATATCATATAAGCATACATGTACAAACATGCACATCATTAGAAATGCCAATTGACTTTCCTTTCTAAAAAGAGAAAATACATTTTCAGTGACCTGGCTGGGTATTGAAGTTACAAGACAATTACTGGCTGGTGGATACATGAGGGAAATCTTATTAAAAATTACCTATCAATCTATGTCTGTCTGTCTGTCAGTTTGTCTGTCTGTCTGTCTGTCTGGCTATCTATCCATCTATCCCCTGCACCACTCTACTAAAACTGTTGGATGAACAGTCATCAGTGACCAAGTTCAATGGCCTCTTTTTTTCCCAGTTCTCATCCTTCTTGATCTCTCTGCCCTGTCCTAATGGAAAGTCTCTCCTATCTTGGCTTCTGAGTCACCACACTTTCCTGGCCCCCAAACAAATGAATGTAATGCCAAGTGCTCCATGGTGGCATATTTATAAAGCATATGCTCTGCCTTATACTTATTGCATCTAATGAGAACCATTTGGAGAGAGCCATCATAATTAAAGGCTCAGAGAGAGTAGGAAACTGACCAAAGGCAAATGCTTGCTATATTGTGTAAAGAACAAAAATAATTTTCAATCACTGCACAGCAAGGGGTAGGAAGATATTATCCTGGCATCCAGGTAAGTATTTTTCCTCTGGATTTTTCATTTTTTGGACAAGTCCCTTGTTTAGGCCGTGTACAATGTAGCACAGGGTGGTTAAACTTTGCCCTAGAGGGCCTAAATTCAGCCCTTTCAGTCCCTCAGCAACATAGCAACAACTGAGTTTAGCACCCAGGTAGCAAGAATAATTAATTTCTTACTTTTAAATATGTATTTCATTTATTTCATTAAACATTCCCCAATTTTGTGTAAATTTTTTTAAAACATTCATTAAAAAAATTTCAAGTTCTAAATTCTCTCTCTCCTGCCCCTCCCTGACCCAAGAATAATTAATTTCAATAGGAAGTTACTGATGCTTCTTCCCTCCTCAGCAACCCCTGTCTCCTCAGCATCTTTACCTCAAGTGTGCTCCTTCCTAGTCCAGCTCTAACCCTGCTTCAGACTCCCAGAGGCTTCAGGGCAGTGGCCTCAAGTTTTCCCAGAGTTTCCATTGTCCTTTCCTGACAACTGAATGCCACTTGCCCCAGGCATATTTTTTTCTCTTGTCCTAGCAGCAAAAATTGATGGCTACCTATCTTGCTTTCCCTTTTAAATGAGGCTCCAGGAGTCTTGAAAAAAAAAAAGCCAGGTATTCTAAGAGGCAGACTGGGGAAGGAGAGAGCATTCCAGGCATAGGGGATAACCCAAGTAAAAAGTCACAAAGATGGGAGACGGAACATCTTGTGTGAAGAACAGAAAGGAGGCCAATGTGGCTGGACCACAGAGTATATGGAGGGAGGACTGCAAAGACAGGAAGGAGGCATGTTGTGAAGAGCTTAAAATAACAGGTTTATTGAGGGAGGTGGGATAGAGTGATAGAGTCAGATCTGTACTTTAGACAAATCACTTTGTCAGCTGTGTGGAGGATGGATTGGAATGGGGAGAGATCTGAGACAAGGAGCCCAATTTATGAGGCTATTGAAATAGTTGATGTGAGAAGTGATTAAGGCTTAAACTAGGGTGGTTGTTGTGTGAGTGGAGAGATGGGGTTGTGTCTGAAATAGATCGTGGAGAAACAGTAAGATTTGGCAACTGATAGGCTTTGTGGGGCGAGTGAGAGTGAGGAGTGCAGAAAGACACCAAGATTGACAGCCTGGGTGTCTGGAAAGATGGCGGTGCCTTTGACAACAATAGGGAAGTTTAAATGATGGTGGATATGCAAAAATAGATGAGTTCTGTTTTAGATGTGCTGAGTTTGAGATGCCTACCAGACCTTCCATTTGAAATGTCCAATAGGCAGTTGGTGATGTGGGCCAAGAGTTTAGGAGAGAGACCAGGCCTCGCTGGATATATTGATCTGGGAATCATTTGCATACAGGTGATACCTCAACCCATGGGTGCTGATGAGATGACCAAATGAGAGAGTATAGAGAGAAAAGGGAAGAGGACATAGGACAGAGCCTTTAGGGATATCAACAGTTAGTGTTATGGCATGAATGAAGATCCAGCAAAGGAAACTGAGAAATAGATGGGTAGGAAGAAAACCAAAGGAGAGAAGTGTCACAAAACCCAGGAACAGTGATCAGTAGTCTCAAATGTTATAGAGGAGTCAAGAAGGATGAGGATTGAGAAGAGATCATTAGATTTGGCTATTAAAAGATCAGTGATAACTTTGAAAAAAGCAGTTTCACTTGAATGAAGCTTGAAGCCAGATTGCTAAGCGTTTCGAAGAAAGTGAGGGGGTGGGATGGGGGGGGAAGTGAAGAAATTGATTATAGATGCCTTTTTTTAAGGAATGTAGCTGATAAGAGGAGGAGAGCTATAGGATGATAGACTGAGGGAAGGCAGAATCTAGTAAGGTTGTTTTTTTTAAAGAAGAAAAGCGACTGGGGCAGCTCGATGCTGCAGTGGATAGAGCACCGGCCCTGAAGTCAGGAGGACCTGAGTTCAAATCCGGCCTCAGACACATGATACTCTCTAGCTGTGTGACCCTGGGTAAGTCACTTAACACCAATTGTCTCGCAAAAAAAGAATAAAAGCGACTTAGGTGTGTTTTAGGTAGCATCTGGACTAATGTATTTAGCCCTGGGCATCACAGTTTAGGACAGTCATTGATAAACTGCATGATGTCCAGAGAATGACAACCAGGGTCGTGAAAGACCTCAAGCTCACATTATATGAGATTCTATCAAAGGAAGTGGGCATCTTTAACCTAGAGAGAAGAAGATATTATAATAATGATGATAATAATAATAATAATAATGGCTAACATCTACCTAATACCTTGAGGTTTGCTAAGTATTTTATAAACATCTCATTTTAACCTCACAACAATTCTGGGAAGTAGGAGCTGTTATTATCTCCCATTTTATATATGAGGTAAACTGAGGCTAAGAAGTAGAAGTTCAGAATTGCCCAGGGTCATACAGCTAGTAGCTGAGACTGATAACTAGCCTGAATTTGAACTTGAGTCTTCCTGACTCCAGGTCTAGCATTCTATCCATTGCACCACTTAACTGCCTAGGTATTTTGTGGAAGGTGGACATCATAGTTCTCTTCAAGTATCTGGAGAGCTGTCATGCGGAAGAAGGAATAGATTTTTGTTCTGTTTGGCCCAGGAAGACAGAACTTCTTAATACTTTGAGCTGCCCATAGTATGATGGGCTTTAATGGGAGTCAGTGGGTTATCTTTCTTCACAGTTCTTTAAACAAAGGCTCTGGTACTTGTTGAGGAGACTTGAGTATGGAGATCCTAATGGATGACTTCCCTTCTAATGAAGTCCCTTCTAATTCTGTGATGCTATAATTTATCTTAAAGATGGAGGAAGATTCCAAAGATGAAGCTGAAAAACCCAACTCTGCATATTAAAAACTTCATCACTTCTCACCACTGCCAACTCATCAAAACTCACTCAATTTGTAGGATGTTAATTTATTTACCTTTATTGTGTTACTATCCAACTTTTTCTTTAGCTGTTTTTATGCATTTGTTATACAAGTTCTGTCCCTATAACCGGACTGTAAAAAAACAAAACTCCCAGGACCCCATATTTTATTTCTTCCAATTTCCCACAGTTTTTGTACACAGGAGGAATTCAATTGAGTGTGTTTTTGCCTAGGAGCACAGAATGTAAGATCTAGAAGGGGCCACAAAGAGAAACTAGTACAAACAACTGGTTTTTAGAGATGATATTTAGGCCCACAGAGATGAAATGATTTGTCCCAGATCACATAGATATGTAGTGGCAAAGCCAAGACTAGAATCCACGTCCAGTGATTTCTTACTACCATGTTCAAGGGATGCAATGGAGCATGCACGTACATATGGTTCCTCTGGGAGAATGCAAGAAAGCCTACTCCACTGAATTATTGGAGGGATTCTCATCTTCATTCCACCTCTCCCTCTGCTCTCCCCACCTCACCACTGCAGTTATACCTAGGGTGTTTCATATTGGGATAATTTCTAGCACTACTCTTTGGGTCCCTCTCACCTTCTGTTGTGGATTAGGCCAGATAGAATGATGGGGAGTGGTGAAAAAAGAAAACGAGGTGAGTCTTGCTAGTTGGTTCTAAAAAAGATCTGAGATTCTTCCCATCTTCTCCCTTCCATATACGTCCTTCAGGTTGCATTTCGCCCTTTTCTGACATCTCCAATTTGCTTTTCCCATTCAAGGTTTCTTTTGGTCTCCATTTGAACCAGAAGTCATTATTTAACAGGGTTGGAGGAAGTACAGAGTGGGATTTGCCTGAAGTGAACTCCAAATTCTAGTAAGGTTGGCTTCGCTCACAGCTCTTCCCCTATCATCCTCCCTCAACATTCACACTGTGAGCTGTGGAAATGTTAAGCAGAAGAAGCGTACCATAGGAAGGCTCTGCCCCAATGAGGTGGGGGACCGAAATGTCATAAAAAGATAACTCTGGCAGTCCAGCTTCTGCCACAGGGACCTGGAGTAGGGGTAGGGGACAGACACTCACTGGGCATGAGACCAAGAGCGTGGTCAAAAGAAAAACGAAGTGAATAAAATGGAATTGGCTCCTTCCTCCCATCCCATACACATTGGCAAGAAACACATAGACCTTAGGGACCATTTTGTGGTCAGAGTCACAAACGAGTCAGCTTTCTTACCTGTTGTCAGGGCAGGTCCAGTGACCTGGAGCAGGTGTGTCACAGGGAGCTGGAGGCACAAGATGTTATCGACACAAATCCACGGGTGGAAGCAGGAACGATGCTTGAACCTGTCTACGATCAGCGCTGAATCAGGGCTCTTAACAGGAGTCCATCTGAAACAACAACCAAAGAAAAGGCTAGAGATGGGAAGAGAAACCTTTCCTCTCCGAAAGTGAAACAAAAAACCAAACAAACCACAAACTACTCCACTGTTCCTCTTTCCCATAGAAATACCAGGCCTGACTGCATACTACTGCTCAAGATGGCATGTGAAGGGTTATGGAGGTAGGTGGAGCCTGGAGAAATCACAGCTCCTAGAACCATAGACCAGGACCTTGATCGCCAAACCAATTTAATGGCTTTTTCCTCAAACCTCATTCTTCCTGGCCTTTGACACTGCTGATCACCCTCTTCTCTCTAGGTTTTTGTGGCACCGATGTATGTGGATTCTTCTCCTACGTCTCTGACCAGTCCTTCTCAGTCTCCTTTGCTGCATCTTCATCCATGCCATGCTTGCTAACCTTGTGTGTTCTTCAGGGCTCTGTCCAGAACCCCCTTCTCTTCTCCCTCTACACCATGCCACTTGGTGATCTCATCAGCTCCTGTGGATTCAGTTATAATCGCCAAGCTGATTCTCAGATCTATTGATTCAGCCTTACCCTCTCTCCTAACCTCTGGACTTACTGCCTGTTGAACATCTCTAACTGGATGTCTTACAGACATCTGAAACTCATAACGTCCAAAGCAGAAATAATTCTCTTTCTTTTCAAAAGCTCCCAACTTCCAAACTTCCCTATTCCTATCCAGGGCACTGCCATCCTCCCAGTCCCCTGGTTCTCAAACTAGGCATCATCTTCAACTCCTCATGCTTTGTCAACCCCCATATGTAATCACTGTTCAAGTCCTGTCCTTTCTACATTCATTTTTGTTGTTGTTTAGTTGTTTCAATCATGTCTGACTTTTTGTGACCGCATTTGGGGTTTTCTTGGCAAAGATACTGCAGTGGTTTGCCATTTCCTTCTCCAGCTCAATCTACAGATGAGGAAACTGAGGCAAACAGGGCTAAGTGACTTGTCCAGGGTCATATAACTACTAAGTGTCTGAGGCTGGATATGAATTCAGGCCTTCCTGACTCCAAGCCTGACACTATCCACTGTGCCACCTAGCTGCCCCTTCTATGTTCACAACATTTCTTATATATACCCCCTTCTCTCCTCTGACACTGTGACTACCCTGACCACTGCCCGTGTTATCTCATGCCTGAACTACTGCAATAGCCTGATGGTTGGTATTCCTGCTTCAAATCTCTCCCCACTTCAGTCCATTCTCTACTCAGCTGTCTAATTAATCTTCATAAAGTACATATCTGAGCATATCATTCCTATTCCCTACCCCCACGTTATTCCATAAACTCCATTGCCTCCCCATCATCTCCAGGATAAATATAAAATTCTCTTTTTGATGTTCAAAACCTTTCCTAACCCGGTCCCCTTCTACCTTTCTAGTCTTCTTCAACCTTACGCACCTCCACATATTCCAGAATCCAGTGACACTTCCCTCCTTACCGTTCCTTGCCCAAGATGCTTCATCTCCTACCTCCATGCATTTTCACTGCCAGTCGCCTATGCTTGGAATCTCTTCCTCCTCCTCTCCATCTCCAGGATTTCCTGGCTTCCTTCAAATCCCAGCTAAAACCCCACCTTCTACAGGAAGCCTTTCCTGATTCCCCTACCCCCCGCCCTTGCTGCTAGTGTCTTCACTCTGTTGATTATCTCCAACTTGTCACGTATATATCTTGTTTGTACATAGTTGTTATCGTGTTGTCTCCCCCATTAGAGTCTGATCTCCTTAAGAGCAGGGACCATCTTTTGCCTTTTTTTTGGTATCCCCAGTCCTTAGCATAATGCCTGACACATAGTAGGTGCTTAATAAATGCTTGTTGACTGACTCTGGAGTCTATTAGAATCTATCCCATAACTTTAATGACCAAACCCAAAATCAGATATAACAAAGAATATTTCTTTTTGTAATACTTTTAAAAGTATCCTTTCTTCTAGAGGCAGCATGGTGTAGTGAAGAGAGCCCTGACCAAGGAATCCAACCACCCCTACCCCTGCTTGGTCACTATGTGCTCTTAAGCAAGTCATTTAACCTTGCCAAGGCTCAGTTTCTTGCCTATCAAATGAAGAGAATCATACTTGCACCCCTTGACTCTGAAAATTGCTGACAGAAAGTGCTTTGTAAATTGAAAAGTGCTAGGTAAATATCTATCTAAAAACTATTTAAAATCCAGCATGCCAGGTGGAGGCACCCATGGCCTTAGACCTACCACAGATCTCTCCTCTATCCATGTGGTACTTCAACTATCATTTTAAAAAATAATGTTTTTATTGATATCTTTTTTTACATCATCATAATTTCTACCAGTATCTTCCGCCTCTCATTCTCTGTGAGCCCTACAAATAATAAATAGTATTTTTAAGACAAAGATCATCATAATTGATCAATATATCGAAAAAGTCTAAAATTATGTGCAATGTAAAACACTTGTATATTTTCCACCTCTGCTAAAGGGTGAGGTGGGGATGTCTTTTCATCTTTTTTCTTTCAAGCCAGGCTTATTCCTTATAATTTTGCAACATTAATTTTTGATTTTGGGAGGCTTGTTCTTTCAATTTTCATTGTTGTAGCCATTATGCAGGTTGTCTCCCTGGTTCTGCTTACTTCACTCTGTATCAGTTCGTGGAGATCTTTCTGCAGAAAGATGCAGAATGCTTCTGTGTATTCATCATAGCCAAAATTTCTTACAGAAATGTAATTTTTTACAGAAAAGTTATATTCCATTACAGTCATATACCATAGTTTGTGGAGCCATTCATCAATCAATAGACATCCACTTTTTTTTTCTATTTCTTTGCTATCACAAAAAGTACTACTTTGATATTTTGGTATATTGGGGATTTTCTTATCAATGGTCTCCCTGGGGTATAAATCCAGTTATGAAATCTCTGTGTCTAAGGGTATGGATTATATCCTTTATATTGGGTATAGTCTCTATATTTCAAGAGTATGGACTATATTTTAGTCACTTTATTTTCATAACTCCAAATTGCTGTAAAAATGCCTACTTAAAAACCATCAAAAAAAAGGTGGAGGGCAGCTAGGTGGCACAGTGGATAGAGCAACCAGTTCTGGAGTCAGGAGGACCCGAGTTCAAATGTGACCTCAGACACTTATTAGCTGTGTGATCCTGGGCAAGTCACTTAACCCTGATTGCCATGCCTCCCCCCCCCCCCAAAATGCCAATCATCATTTCCGTTCCTGTATTCATTATCCACCTAACCACTGACCAAACAGAAAGAAATAACAATTTTGAATGGAAGATAACTTTAATATCACATATAAATATTTTTTTAAAATTACCTGTCACTTAACAATTATATATGTCCTCAAGGGTTTTTGTTGAGAGGCAGTGTGATGTAGTGATCAGGATCCTAGCCTGAAGCCAGGAAGACCTGGGTTGAAGTCCTGCCTCTGACACACACTGGCTGTGGGACCCTGGACAAATCACTTCTCCGTTCTCTAGGTAGATTTTTAAGATAATAAGTTACACAGAGAAAGTATCCATTGGTACTGGAAAGAGTTTCCTCACCTGAACTCACAGGTCCAGTCCCGATTCCCATCAAAGGGTTTTTGGAGTGCCTATAAGTGCTTTACCTTGTTCTGCCTCAATCAGAATTTAAAAACAGAGACGAGGATTAAATGGAACAATGGAAGACACATTTTGCCTTATTTGTGCTTGGTCCAAATTGACTTTGGTTTTGAACACCAGGATATCTATTTGATTGCTTCTCACTTCCCCTCTCTGACCTGCCTATCCATTACCGAGAACCTCTAGAACATACTTTTATTTTACTTTTTATCAGAAGTTCCTCCTTGTTAAGCTTGTGAGATTTCATTGCTTTTTCTATTTTTTTGTGGGGGGGGAGTAGGGGCAGGATAGGAAAGGAGAAGTAGATATCCGTATATATCTAATTTTATGTTGTTTCGTTCCTTCTCTATGACCTTTGAATTTTAGCTTTGGGGCTGCTTGTTTTAAAAACCATTTTTGGCTCATTCACTCATTTCTTTTTTTCTTCTTCACTTGCATTCTCTTAAAATTCCTTTCTATCTACGGGTGGGTTTATTTTTTTGGGGGGTGCTTATTGGTATTTCCAGTGGTGCACAGGAGCTGATCATAATGTATCTGATATAATCATATTAATGATAAGGGAAAAGTGTGGAGGTCTCCTCATATTTCCTTAAGCCAAGGCTTCTCCTCTTCTACCATTTTCATTTCCATAAAAGAAGAGTGGAAGTTAGGTGGTGAAGTCCAAGACAAAAACCACAGAAAAGGGTGCCTATTCAGAGGATGGAGAAGGATTGTTTGCTGCCTTGAGGACACTTCGTAGGGTGAGACTTTTAAATGAGGCTCTAGGAGGATCATTTAAGATTTTCCAACCTACCTTTTCACCTCTTTGGAATTCTGACTAGTACCAACTCCTCAGTGGCTTACTCACTATTTCCTCAATTAACACTAATGGTGGTTCTGCTGTCTGGTAATGCTGATCTCTAGGCACTCCTCCAAGCTGTCCATAGGGAGACAAATGAACTTGAGTAGGCCCTCTTCATCATTGTCTGTATTTTTGTGACTCCATTCCTAGACCAGTCTGCCTTGGACCAATTATCCTTACACACCATTGTTGAGGGCTTATCGATTATCTTGACAAGAGAATCAGTCAGCAAGCATTTTTTAGGGATCTCTTCTACCAGGCACTGTGCTAGGTGTTGCATCTACAAATATAATAAATCAACCAATTCCTATACTCAAGAAGCTTATATCCTAATAGAGGAGACAACAGTGACCTATCTAAGTATATCCAGAGTAAATATAAAGAATAAAGAGAAATAAATACAAAATAGTTAAATACAAGATAGTTAGAGAAGGAGGGCCCTAGCAGTTGAGGGGATCAGGAAAGGCTTAATATTTTAGAAATTGGTGCTTGAGATGCATGTTGAAGGGACAAAGGGATTCAATGATGCCGAGGTGAGGGAGGAGTGCACAGGGGCACAG